GTGTGTGTGTGTGTGTGTGTGTGTGTGTGTGTGTGTGTGTGTGTGTGTGTGTGTGTGTGTGTGTGTGTGTGTGTGTGTGTGTGTCAGAGGGGGCGTGTCCCAGTCCTGGTTTTCTTCTTCAACCCTTCGGCCAATCAGAAGCCAGGACTGTTGGATGGCTCCGCCCTCGCTGCTGTGGGTAACATCGTGGTGGTAACGGCCAGCTACAGAACCGCAGCGCTGGGATTCCTGAGCGACGGTGAACATCATGACATTAAATATCATAACAACATTAACGTTGTTATTACTATGGCGATGATGTCATAGTTATATTCTGCCTGCAGGGTCGTCTGGTCTCCGTGGTGACTACGGGCTGTCTGACCAGGAGGCGGGGCTTCATTGGGTTCATGCCCACATCGCTCTGGTGGGCGGAGACAACACGACGGTCACGCTCGGGTCTGAGCGAGGAGGCGCTGACATCACCAGCCTTCATCTCCTCTCCTCCTCTTCCTCCCCTCCTCCGTTCCAGAGGATGATGCTGATGGTGAGAACTCCTCCTCCTCCTCCTCCTCTCCCTCATCCTCCTCCTCCTCTTCTCTCTCCTTCTCTTCCTCCTTATCCTCCTTTTCTATCTGCTCCTCCTCGTCCTCCTCCTTCACTTTCTCCTGCTCTTCTTCATCCTCCTGTTCTATCTAATCCTCCTCCTTCTCCTCTTCCTCTTTCACTTTCTCCCGCTCTTCCTCCTCCTCCTCTTCTCTCTCCTACTCATCTTCCTCCTTGTCCTCCTGCTCCTTCACTTCATCCTTCTCTTCCTCTTCTTCTCTCGCCTCATCTTCCTCCTTGTCCTCCTGCTCTTCTTCATCCTCCTGTTCTATCTAATCCTCCTCCTCCTTCTCCTCCTCATCCTTCACTTTCTCCTGCTCTTCCTCCTCAACAAGACGTCAGTAACAGAATTTAACATGAAAATATATTTAAGACCTTTTGCTTAAAACATCTGACTTATTGACGTCACATTTATGTGTTTAATAGAATGATAATATATATAATATTATATATCATTATAATATTATATATGATATGATATTATAATGATATATAATATAATATAATTAGAATGTATTACAGTATAATAGTATGTTGTTGTCTCCTGCAGGGCGGCTCTGTGTTTTCTCCGTCACTGTTTCAGACCTCCTCCTCCTCCTCCAGACGTCAGGCAGTCGATTTGGCCAAAGAGCTCAGCTGCGTGACCTCTGACCTCAGCGATGACGACAAAATGGCCGACTGTCTCAGAGCGACGCCGGCGTTCACGCTCAACGCTGCTCAGACTAAAGTGGGTTTAACTCTCTGAACACTCTTTATCGTCCCTTCAAAATAAAAGTCCTGCTCCTCCATAGAAACAGAACCATCGTGACTAGAAGTAGAGAGAACTAGAACATGTCTTTAGAGAGAATAACACAGTTATGTCATCAAGACAAAACACAAGTTGGTTTTTTTTGATAATTTATTTTACAAAAATTTGAAAATACTGGAATCTATAAATACAACATTTTGTGTCTACAAGTGTTACCAATGTCTCTACGTGTTATATTAAACTACGTGAATATATATATTATATATATATATATTATATTACGTGAATATTAAACTATTCACATGTTTCAGCATTTGTCACACATGATGCGTTCAAGGAACGTCTGAAAGATGAAAGTCTGATGATCATGACGGTTTAAGCTTCTGGCTGATAAACGGTTTATTGTGTGTGTGTGTGTGTGTGTGTGTGTGTGTGTTGCAGCTGTTGGCGGTCAGCGGTCCGTTCCAGTCCTGGTCTCCGGTCCGTCAGTCCGTCTCTCGGTCGTCTCTCCACAGAGTCGACCTCCTGCTGGGAACGTCCGAACACGACGGTCTGATCAGCCGAGCTCGCAGGATAAAGGTCAGAGGTCACACAGAAAAAACAACTAAAACGTGTGAAGGAAGATCTCAAAGAGCAGTGACGTCACATTATGAGGAGATTTGTGGAAAATGTAGGCAAAATATTCGGCTCTTAATGTGGAAGTTATGACAAATGTGTTTCCTGAATCTGATAACAACATTGAGAACAGTAACAGAATAATCTGTGACTCATCAGTGTGAGTGTTTAAGAAGAAGTGAAGATCTGTAAAAGATGAATTAAGATACTTTAGTGACTTTGTTTGAACCTCATTCGTGCGTCTCGTTGAACAAAAACATCAAAACAGTGAACGTAAAATAATCACAAAGAACTTCTAGAAGAGTAAAGAAAATGTATTTCACAATATTCAATTCAAATAAATATCTAAAGCTGTGCCACATTCCTCTACAAATACACATTTGTCCCATAGTTACATGTTGTGTTTGTTTACTCGTGTCTCCAGGACTTTGAGGCCCTTCAGGGTCGAGCCGACGGTAAGACGGCGTTTTACGAGGCTCTGAGTCGCTCACTGGGCGGCGTGACAGGAAGTGACCTGCTGAAGGAGGCGGCGGCCTGGTTCTACTCTCTGGATCATGCCCCCTCCCCCGCCGGATACAACCTGTTCTCCAGAGCGCTCAACAACGCCACCAGGTCACATCCAAACTCAGAAAACAAGCTAACACAAACAAGCTAACTGCTAACGTTATTGAAATACAGGTTAAATATCTGACCACACGTCTGATGACGACTTTCAGGAAACACAGTTTCGAGTCACAGAAGTGAAGATGTTTGGTTTCCGGCTGCTGGTTAGTTTAAAGTGACAGAAAATAAATAGTTTTGTTTGTTTGTGTTGCAGAGATCTGTTCATCATCTGTCCCAGTCTGCAGATGGCTAGCCACTGGGCTAACAGCAAAGCTAACGTCTTCCTGTACCACCAACCTGCCACCAGCTCTCACAACAGGTGCCGACTGTTTACACACATGCTAATGCTAACATTAGCTAACTAGTTTGGTTAGCTCACTTGCTAATGTTAGCATAACTCGCCCTTTTACTTGATAACTGTGTTTTTCCATAACTTGGTATTTTCCCTTCTGTAGCTTCACTTTGACTCTGCAACTGTGTCGTCATCTGAGCCGATCAAAGATATTGATTGGTTGTTTCCTGTGTTTCAGGGCCGATGTGTCTGTTCCTCTGGACGTTCAGTTTGTGTTTGGGATGCCTCATCATCCAATGAGCTCGCAGCGTTTCACCTCCTCTGACCGACGCCTCTCTCTGGCCATGATGACCTACGTCTCCAGCTTCATCAAGAGCGGGTCAGACTAACACTTGTTTAATTAACTATCGTTGGATGAACACTTGATATATTTGCAAACCGTTGTTAGATAATGAAGTTAATTTTTAAAAGTTCTTTTCCCTCAGGAACCCAAACCCGTCACGTGTGTGGGCGGAGTCAGTTCTGCCCCGTTGGCAGCAGGTCCTGTCCTCTGAGGCCCCACCCACCTACCTGGAGCTAAGCCCCGCCCTCCAACAGCATCAGGGTCTGAGTCAGAGCTCCTGCTCCTTCTGGAGCCAACTAGGAACCAGACTGACCAGTCTGAGCGGTGAGAGGAGGACTCTTCTGGACTCGACTTCTTTAATCTGCAAGAGCTAGTTAGCTAGTCCCCGGAGCTCCCGCCAGCTCTCCTCCCGGCACCAATGGGGGCTACTCAATAGGGGGCGTTATCGAGCCCTTTTATCTGACCCGAGCCCGTCAAATCATATCAGATAGATATTTTTGCCTAGACTGAGTTTTCAAGTATTCCAAGCACCTCGTTTTTTACGCTCAAAGACGAACAATAATGATGGAGCAGTTTAATTCAGAGAGTGGGATCCCTGAGAGAATAAGTCTTTATTATTATGAAGATCTTTACTATTAATAATATATTAAATCTAGAATAGTTCAAACCGATCATCGCTGTGTTCATGTTTGTTGTTTGCGTTTCAGGGTCTAAAAACTGTCTTTTTTTTACTCAGGTGTGTCGGGGGCGGAGCCTATCCAGCCTGAGTTGACCCCTGAGCTCCCACTGGCTGCACCATCCAGCCAATCACAGACTGAGAAAGACGCCTACAACTAAACTAATGACATCATCATCCCGTCCTCCGTGTGACATCACAGTTTGCTGCTTCCAGATTCATTTTGATCCCAAACAGTGAAGAAATAAAACGACTGCTGTCTCAATCAATAAAAAAATCATTTTAAACTCTTAAACTCTCTACGGTTCATTATTTACTCTATTTGTACTTTGAGTATTTCTTTTCATGCCACATTCTACTTGTAGTTTTATGTACTTTACAAATTAAGATTTTTAAACACAAAACATTTAAAGAAATTATATATATATAATTAAAATGAATTAAAACACCTTTCTGTTTTTGCATAGCTTTGTGTTACGTAGCTCGATGCTCACAGATGAGTGACCAGTGTAGCATTAATGGTGGAATTAGCTTGCTAGCTAGCTAACTCGTTCCACCATGCTGTTTTGATGCTTCTATTCTTTTGGGCATTTTTTGTTGCCAGGTATTCTTTCCTGCCGATGCATATTCCATTTTCAACATATGAAAATAAAATGAATTTTTATGACTTCCGGATGCTGTCACTCTCACGACAGTCTCGACTTTTTCAAAATACCGTACTATGAGTTTTGTTTAACTGTTGAAATAGTATAAAATTACTTTTTTTTAAACACAATATAGTATGAAGTTATACTAATAATGTTAATAATGTTTTCGACATATTATGCCATGACTATTTATGATACATTTTTTGACATTTTCAATGACTTTTTAATGACAAACTATACCACGACAATTAAAAAGTATTCAACAAACTTTACTCTGACTTTTTTATAGATATTCTATGACATACTATACCATAACCTTTTATGATATACTAGCTTATGACTTTTAGAGATTTTTTTTATGGCATACTAAACTGTGACATTTGATCCTCCAGCATCTGGACTCCACTGGAACTCAAGATCCTTCCTTTCTAACTCTTCCATTTATCTTATTCTTTGGATTTTCTCTCAAATCTTTGTTTTCGGTCGAGTAAACTTTAAAAGTGAGACGCAGCTTCTTTTACTTAAGTTAACTTCCTCTGACGGTGGATCTTTAATCATTTCATACAAAAGAAAAGAAGAGTTGAAGAGCAACTTAACAACTTGTGTTCAAAAGAATTCGTTAAAACTCAATAAAGTTTAAAGTTGTTTCAAGTTAACATCAGTGGTTCTCTGACCCCGCCCAGCAGTGATGTCACGGTGTCCTGGAGTACAACGTGACACCACTGCTGTGATGCCGTGGGGGTTTGTCTCAGTTTAGCCCCGCCCCCCTTCATATCATCTAAATGTAATGACAAACAAACCACAAAATAATAACGGAAATATTAAAGACGGTACCTCAAACTGTGACCACAGAGTGGAGCTCCTTATTTGCTTGGCATGATGGGAGTGTGCCAGGCTCCTCCTCCCTCCCTCCCTCCCTCCCTGCCTCACCTGTGTGCAGGTGAGGCAGCAGGTGTATAAAGGACTCTTTCTCTGGATGGAAACAGACTCCAGAAGCCGCTCACACTGAGATCTTTGTCACAGACTGTTTTGGATTTCCTGCAGAAAGATGGAGACGCTGCTCACTCTCTGGATCGCTGTCGCCGTCACCGCCTCAGGTAAAAGAAAAGAATACTCTTAGCTCACCTGAGGCTTTTTTTAATACTTTAATACTCAATCTTTGTTTCACTGAGGCTCAAAGTAGAATTTAAAATAAGGTGAAAGAGATCAGAGGAAGAAGGCTGAGAGGTTCAGTAAGTGTTTCAGATCTTGTTACGGCTGCTATGAGTTATTCTTTTATTAATTATTCATTAATCTATTGATTCATTCGTAGATTAACTGATAGATTGAACAATCTATAAAGAGTGTCTCCTTTGAGGACGTTAGGTTCAAACAGACTAAAAGCAGATTATTTGTCAGCGTGAAGTGACGGATGTGAATTCAATGAGTCTGAATCATGAAATATTGACTTTTGGATATTGAACCTTTCTGATGAGGTCAGGTGAAAAATTTAATAATTAAAGTTATATTCTGTATTTACATTTACATTTTTCATACGAGTGAAGTGTAATTATTAAAAGGGTTTTCAAACTCAACATTGTTTTTTTGGTAGTGGTCGCTCTTCTTCAAAGTGGGTGACAAGTCGGTGACAAATTTAGGATTTGGTAACAGTAGACTAACGTCACCATCTTGTTTATTTGGAATCAGAAGTGACACAAGAGGGCGGAGCTAAGTACAACCAAACGCTGAATAAAACATTTTTATAACATAAAATGTCACAATTAACTTTGATGAAGTGAAAACACACTAAAGGGTTTAAATAGTAACGCTGTGGTAGAGACCTGTCAATCACCGTGTAGCCCTGCCCTAAAGCACACCCTGCTTTATGGTTGATAAACCATCATGCTTCAGTTTTAGCACAGAAAGTCCCATGAGTCCAAACCTTACAGCAACCTCCGGTTTTGAAGAGTGAACCCAAAGCTTCATGTGTTAAAGCTGCATTCTCTCTAGTGTCCACC